CCTTCTTCCCTCCCTCCCTCCCTCCCTCCCTCCCTCCCTTCTTCCCTCCCTCCCTCCCTCCCTCCCTCCCTCCCTTTTTTTTCCCTTGTTTAGCCACAAAACCTAAAATCATTAGGTTATAGCCACAAAACCTAAAATCATTAGGTTATACTTAATTTGTTCATTGTAAGGAATTTTATGCTTCTTACTCTTCTGTTCTAAAAAGGCATTTTCCTCACTTCTCTGCTCCATTCAGGTGCCAGGTTTCTTCAGAGGCGTTTCAATGACAGTTGTAATGGCATCACTGATTTCATCATTTTCATTTGGGATCTACAAAAACTTCCTTTATGGTATCTGTAGACTACGATATGGCTCTGCAGACAGAAAACCATCAAAAGCGGATATATCTTTTGCAGGTTGTGTTACTGGTGCTGTCCGGGTAGGTTAAAAAATAAAACAATATGGGGTGTATTTGTTTGTTGATGGAACAGGATCTGTCAGCATCTCCTACTTACTTTCAAATCTTTAGAATTGAAGTGAACCTCACACACATATTAAAATGAACCTCACACACACATGAAATATTAAGCATGTCCTCCCTACTACCAAAATGTTGCCTAGAGAGCTAGAGAAAATTTTCTGATCAGATGTGCAGAGTGCAAACATGATTGGAAAATATAGGAATATATTTTGGTCAAAGGACCAGATAGGATACATGAAGTTGAGCTAAGATCCTCCAGAATCTGGGCAGCAAGATCTGACTCTAAATTCTTATTTATATTCTCTAGGTTGTGCTAATATCACCTGCAGAAATAGCCAAAGTAAGATTACAGATCCAGAAAGATCCACATGGCTTGATAACATCATCTCATCCTCTTGACTCCAGGCCTAAGTATCAAGGTTCCTTACATTGTTTGAGGACAATAGTGAAAGAAGAAGGCTTTGCAGGTCTCTACAAAGGATCTTTGGCTCTGCTGGGCAGGGATTGTCATTCATGCGCAGCCTATTTCCTTACCTACTCTGTCCTATGTGACTGGCTTACTCCAGCTGGTAAAAACAAACCAGGTATGTGCATTAAATGGAATTATCTGTTTCAAAAGCTTCAGATGTCTATCTTGCCTGTTTGTGTCATGACAGATTGACATGTATTCATTTATACCTTGCATTTTCCTTTATCACCCTGCAATATACAAACCTTTTAAGAACCACTAGAGAACCCATGACCCATTGGGTCATCCTTTCAGAGATATTTCCTTACCTAAACAGAGAAACCAAATAACTACGGACAGGCAAAAAAGCAGTGGGAGTGGGAGCGACTTCTGATTTCTTGCTGGCTTCCCCATTGACTTTCCTTGTGGGAAGCTGGCAGGGTGCATTGGAAATCACTCCTCCTCCTCCTCCTTGGCTGACCCTTGGAACTCCCTGCCACCTTGCTGGGGGGTGGGGGAACAAAGGAAGCCACAGACTGCGAGGAAAAATGCACCCCTGCTCACCACCCTGGCATATCCCCAGGGGCCCCCTCCCTCCAGGGAAGAAGAGGGTTCACCCATTGACCGTTGGCACCCCCCAGCCAGCCTTACCTTGCCAGCAGGCATCCGAGTCACTTCCTTGTCCTTCCCTCACTGCCAAGTGCTGTTAAGAGATTTCAGATGTTGGCCTCATTTCCAAAGCAGCCAGTTGCTGCTCACCTGTCAGGCCTTGACACCAGCTGACTAAGTGCAGGGGCCAGAGGGAGGTGGGAAAGAGGGTGGGGATATACCCCTCCCATCTTCCCTTGCACCATACAACCTAAAGGTTTCTGGGAAGTGTAGTCGGAAAGCGTGGTGGCGCTGAAGTGGCCACAACTTTGCCAAATTTTAATCCCACAGGAGTAATGGGTCCAGGATTTTGGACACATTCTTTAAGTTAGCCCATTTGAGGTACACTGATTAAAAAATTGTTGCCCTATGATGCGCTGTTTCACCCAATTGAAGGTTACAAACACACAGTGACAGTTTTAGTAGCATATAGATTAAGGATACTGGAGGGAGAATACTTGCCTTTTGAATGCAGGCAATCAATGCCTCAGATGTCTACAGGAGCTTACATGGCCACACGTTTTTGTGCTAGAAATGATTTCATAGAGATGTAGGATGTTCCTCTGCCTGATGCCAGAGATAAGAAAGCTGATTCTCTCACTCCCACTCCTACTTCTATATAGTTAAATATACCAGTGTGGGCTGTCTTATCTGTCAGGATGTCTCTTGGAGGGCTCCTTCCCCAAAATGAGGCATTATGGGCCTGAAAACCAGATGATTACCTGTGCCATAAATTTCATGGAGACTAGCTGTGCCTACTGGCAGTTGACTGAATGTAATGCCTTACTCCCCTCAGGGTTAGATATTTGCTTTCAAAAGAGTCCTATCAGTCATTTCCTTGCTGTGGTATTTTCAGATCTAAAAATACCATGGTATTGCAGCCAGTTGGGATACTGGCCACAAATTGTCTAACCTGCTGAAAATGCTACATGTGATGAGTTACCTCTTTCATGCACAAGCTGATTGGCCACTGGCTTTTGAATAAAGTTGATGAGGAAGGCTGGTGTATACTCTAACCCTTTTCAATCTCCTCCCTATCAATCTAGTATGTGTTATAGATCTATAGGATTTTAGAATTGTAATGGGATTTTGAGATCATCTACTCTAAACCCCGGTATGGCTCACGGGGTAACGGTAGAATCTGAAATCTGGAGAATGGTAAGACAGTAGGCTAGGCTAGGCTAGACTAGGGTTTTTTTATTGATTATGTGCCATCAAGTCAGTGTCATCTCTTAGTGACCACCCAGATATATTTTCTCCATGATGATGTATCACTAACCTGGTCTTTCAGGTCTTCTGATGGTGTATCCATCACCATTGTAATTGAGTCCATCCACCTTGTTGTTTTCTTGGCCGTCCACAGTACTCTCAGGAATCTTCTCCAACATCAAAGTTCAAAACATCAGTGCTCTTCCTGTCTTGCTTATTCAAGGTCCAACTTTCACTTCCATAGTGTCCATGGCTTGTACGATTTTGATCTTTGTAGGTATAGACACATCAAGGCATTTGAATATCTTTTCCAAGGCCTTCATGGCTGCTCTGTCAAGTTGACTGCTTGTTCCTTTACTGTGGATGGTTGATCCTAAAAGGCAGAAATTATCTACCACTTCTATATCTTCATTATCAGTTCTAAGGCTGGTTGTTCTACCTGTTGTCATTAATTTGGACTTCTTTATATTTAATTTTAGTCCCATTTTTTTCACTATGCTCCTTGAGTTTTATTAGTAGACCTTGCAGATCCTTTGCATATAAGATAGGATGAAATAAGCTTAGTGATAATTCACATTGATTGTACAGGTTATATAACGTTGTCAAACTGTGCTTGTACAGGTTGTGTAACATTGTTAAAGTGTGATTGTACAGGTTGTGTAACATTGTTAAAGTGCTTGTTACAAAATTCTGTTTGAACTGTTATGAAACTGGTTGATAGAGGCTGTGTCCTCTGGTGTCATTCAGCAGCTTTTCCTCCATAAAAGGATTTTTTAAAGCTTTGTTCTCTTGAATTTACAGTAATTAATACTGCACATTTAAATTTTTAGATAATTAAATATGCATATATTTTGCAAGGGTTCATAATTTATTGGGAAAATTAACATGTATCTTTAGGCTTCCATGTCAACTTGTTACTGAAGCAGCAAGAATTGTGCAAGGATTTTTCAAGTTGTGAATTTATTCTTTTTTTTTTTTTAAAGCATTTTATAACTTGGTAAGTACAAAGGACAGTTGTATGAAGTGATATATAGATGTGGTGGAAGTAAGGATGATTTGCAAGCATAGTAAAGTATGAAAAGGTATAGTAAATGGTGCTGATGTAAACTTAATTTAGCTATTTTGGCCTAATATTGTTTACGTGAAAAGGGAATAGCATGAAGGGTATGTTGTTGTTGTTCAGTCGTTAAGTCGTGTCCGACTCTTCGTGACCCCATGAACC